ATCTGTGCGCGCGCTTTCGCGCGCGCTTATCTTTTTGTTGTGAAAATGAAGAAATCGAATTTATTAAACTGCGCGCGCTTATCTTTTTGTTGTGAAAATGAAGAAATCGAATTTATTAAACTTCATATACTCATAGATGTTTTATAAATATTGATAATGACTTAAAGAGAATTAAGAGAATGAAGAGAATGAGGAGTGAAGCATCAATGAATAATTTTTAATCTTTGATTAATTCTTTTTTTTTACTTTTTAAAATAATCTGATTAAAATCTGTAATTGTTGAAAAATCACGGGAGGGTTATAAATTGATTTCCTAGAAAACTGAAGAAATTTCTTGAATTCTTCGGAAAATTTCGCAGTTTTCCAGATAACCGTAGATCACAGATTTTTCTCGAATTATTTGGAAAACCGAATAATTTTTGTAAATTTTGTAGAGTTTAGAATTTATGTCTGAAAATCTGAAAAGCAAGAATTGATCATTTTGGCGTGTGATAAATATGAAAAAATTAAAATTTGAGAAGTGAAGATAATTTGTGAGTTAAAAAAATTTAGAAATACTATATTTTTTTTTCTCATGATCAACAATTAGGCAATTTAGATATGTTTTGATATAAAGATCAACTTCACACATGAAAAAATGAAAGATATGACGCAGAAATTTTTTTTGACATTTGAAGAATTTGAAAATACCGGGATTTTTTTTCAGCGACTACTTCACGTGACTCATTGACCAATCAGAATTGAGGATAAGCGGTCAGGCAGTTTCGAGATATTTCGATACAGACAACTTCACGTTTCTTTCAAAAAAATTTCAAATTTCACCGGTTTTTCGTTGCAAGGGTTAACTTGCCAACGCGGCCATCGCCCGAGGGCCTTCAGCCAGGGAATGTTGAATGTGGAGTGGATTTTTCAGTTGAAAATTCCGTGGAATATTCGATTTGAAAATTGTGCTGAAGTTTCAGTTGAATATTTTGTGGAAAATTGTGGTGAAAAATTGGTGTGGAATTTTGGCCCGGCCGGGGCTCGAACCTGGGAGCTTGAGGTTGTGAATCTCATGCTGCTACCAAGTGCGCCATTTCTTTCATTTTTAGTAAATAGGATTTCTCTCCACTGACGTCGGTGGCCGAGTGGATTAGGCGCTGTCATATGTTCGCTTGCCAAATTATTGTTTTTTCCTAATTCACATATTCTCTCAGATCTGGAATTAATTTTTTATTAATCATTAATCTAGCTACTTGATCGATTTGAAATCCTTCGATGACGTTCAATATTTTCTTAACCATCCAGCTATTGGCTTGTTTACCCTACTTTGCATATGATATAAATCTGTGTTTCAATTTTCCCTGAAATCTCCCAAACTCATTGAGCGGGAGAATTCAAATGAGAGTGATTGAGAGCCCCTGAAGGCGGAAAGTCTGCGCGCGCATTGAATCGGCCATTTCTCTTTCTTTCTTCTTTTTCCAGCGTGCCGAGAGACAACCCAGCTGGTAAGGCCTCAATTTTATCCAAAAAAGTGTCTCAAAATCTTCGAAAATCGTGTTCTCGAGGATTAAAAAAAATTATTCAGCAGTTATTTATCGATTTGTTGCATTCTCCGGGGGGATTCCGGCCTCGAATCATTTTTACTGAGGGCAGTTTTGGGTCTGGGAGAGGTTAGGGTCGCCGACGTGGAGCTTGATACATTCCTCCGAACAATTTTGTAAAGTTTTTCGGGTTTTCACAGGTAGAACATGGGCAAGGGAAACAACATGATCCCGAATGGGCATTTCCACAAAGATTGGCAAAAGCACGTCAGGACCTGGTTCAACCAGCCTGCACGCAAGATCAGGAGGAGGACGAATCGCGTGAAAAAAGCACGTGCGGTCGCCCCAAGGTTAGTGTCACTATTTCAATTATTTCAATCAATTTTTTATATATTTTTTTAAATTTTTTTCTGAGCTCATTTTACTCCAGCACTGAATTTTCTATTCGAGTTTCAGAGTCAAATAATTGCATAATGAGTGGATTTATTGAGAAAATGTCAAAATACATTTTTTGTGAGGAATTTAATTCTTTACAAAAAAGGTCCAGATAAATATTCTTTTAAATCTAATACTTTCTGAGATTATTGACAAAAACATACATCACCTACAAAATTGTGATTGAATTCGAGTTGATTTGGCATTCTGGCAATTACCTCGGTAATCAGTGCCTCTATCAGAAAAAATCCCTGAACATTTTTTCTTGGAAATTTAATTCTCTCTAAAAAAGTTCTGAACACATTTTCACGTAAAACCACTCGCTAATGAGATAATTCAATAAGAAGTAGACAGTTTCTTCAATGTCGAAATGCTTGACGCCATGATTCAGCTTTTGAATAATTCGTTTTGTTCGTTCTAGACCTGTAGATTTACTTCGTCCAGTGGTGAGATGCCCCACGGTGCGTTATCACACCAAAGTACGTGCTGGACGGGGATTTACCCTCGCTGAAGTGAAGGCCGCAGGTTTGAACAAAAACTTTGCGAAGAGTATCGGAATTTCGGTCGATCACCGAAGGAGGAATAAATCCATAGAGTCCCTCCAGACCAATGTCCAGCGTCTAAGAGAATATAAGGCCAACCTGATTCTCTTCCCCAAAAACGAGAAGAAGGTAATCAGTCCAGCCTCACCATTACTTCCCACAAAATTAATTTTTTTCACCCGAAAATTGAAAAAACTTGAAATCTACATTTTGAAAGTACAATTATCTCGAGGATGAGCGGATACGTGAGAAAATGTCGTATTACATTTTTTTGGGAAATTTAATTCTCCACAAAAAAGGTCCACAGCAATTTTTCCCTAAAACCGTCCCTCACTGAAATAGTTAAACAATTCTAAAGATAAATGAAAACAGTAAATGGTGAAACGATTAATTTCCTTCATCGTTCTTCAACTATATCTCGATAACGATTGATTTTGCCAAAAAATTTCCCGATAAATTTTTTGTAGGGAATTAAATTCTCTACAAAAAAGGTCTCGAGCAATTTCCCCCTGAACCCTCTCGTTAGGTATATATTTCCACTTATATAAAACATGAAAAATCATCGACTGGTTTCAGTTGTGGCTTTTCCTCTCAAAATGTTTAAACAATTCTCTTGACATTCCAGCCCAAGAAGGGAGATTCTACTGCTGAGGAATGCAAGATGGCGACCCAAGTGAAGGGCACCCCCATGCCCATTCTATCGTCAGGAGTGCTCAAGGCCAAAGCCAGACCTATCACTGAGGAAGAGAAGAAGTTCAATGCCTATATCACTCTTCGTAAAGCAAGGGCTGACGCCAGACTCGTTGGCATTCGTGCCAAAAGAGTTAAGGATGCGGCTGAAAACCCGGATGATGTCACGAAGGCACCAGCAGGCAAGGGCAAGAAGTAAACATCCCGTTTTTTTTTGAATATTTAAAAAACAACAATTATTTTATTTTGTGAGGGAAATTGTATGATGAAAATGATAATAAAAAGCGGGTTTTGTTTACAACACATTATTGGGTTTATTTATTCTTTAATTCAGGTGTAAATTAAAGTTTAATGGATGGAGAGAGCCCGTGTGGATGCATTGTATCGATTGGTTTTTCATTTTTTTCATTGAAATAAAAAAAATGGAAAATTTTAGGAGTGAAATTGGTGAAATAAGAATGGGAAGTGATTGAAAAAAATTAGCAATAGAAATTTTGTGAAGTAATTGTAATCAATGGATCAGAAATATTTGATATTTATTAAAAATAATTGAAGAATTCTAAAGATGAATGAGAGATGAACATCGTTAAGCAATTCATTGTGTTCGTTTTTTATTATATCTCGACAACGATTGATTTGATAAAAAAATTGCCCAAAGAATTTTTTGTAGGAAATTACATTCTCTATCAAAATGGTTAGAAGTAATTTTACTCAAAACGCACTCCTCATGTATATATTTCCACTCCTATGAAACTATTATTACTCTTTTTGTATATATTTTTTGTTTTTCTTTCAAGCTGTATAAACATTAAGGTTTCGTGCTAATAAAAAAGAAACTCCTATGAAACATAATTAATTAAATTAATAAATTTCAGGATAAAAATGATTGACAATAAATTTTGGACTAGAAGTTTCATGAATAAATTATAGTTGAGTTCTTTTAAGTAAAAATAAGACGTGAGAATATGAGATAATTAATTAGATAATCAATTCAATTAATCAATTCCAGATGATAAATAACTGATAAAACCTTGAAAATATAAATTTTATAAAGTAATGGTAATGAATGAATAAGAAATGCTTGATATTTATTAAAAATAATTGAACAATTCTAAAGATAAATGAAAGGAAAATCGTTATACAATTTTTTTTCCTCTTTCTTCGATTAGATCTCGATAACGAGTGATTTGATCAAAAAATTGCCCTAAGAATTTTTTGTAGGAAATTAAATTCTCTATAAAAATGGTCAGAAGTAATTTTACCCTAAAACCCCCCCTTATGAACATATTTCCACTCTTATGAAACATGAAAAAACATCGATTGGTTGGATGATTAATTAAAACAATTAATTTCACAAGAAAAATGATTGAAAATAAATTTTACACTCGAAATAAATTGTAGTCGAGTCCTTTTAAATAAACACAGGATGTGAGAATATTAGATAATTAATTAGATAATCAACCCATTAATTTAATTCGATAATTAATTCAATCAATTAATTTCAGAACATAAATAACGGATAAAACCTTAACAATAAAAATTTAATAAAGTAATTGTAATCAATGAATAAGAAATGTTTGATATTCACTTAAAATTTGAGCGCGAGAATCCCAATCAGTCTGCGCGCGCATCAAATCCACATGGATATCGTTATCGTCATTCTTCCTTTCCCATGTGCCCAGACCCACATCCCTTCTCCTTTATTTCATCTAAAACAATATTTTAACCCTTTAAAAACAGTGATTAGTGCCCCAGGTGATTAATCAAACATCATGAGGAGATTGTCTGAGGAAAGAACGAAGTTGTTGTTCGAAAAGCTGACGAAATAGTGAGTGAAAATATTTTTTCGAGGTTAACTTTGTGTTTACATGCTGATCATGGAGTTCAATAACTAAAAAAGACTTGAAAATGCTCTGAGATATTTTTTTAAAGACATTTTCTCGTTGAATCCGTGGCTTTTCAGATATTTTCATAATTGGGAGAGCGAAAAAAATTGACTCCTCGTTTAAACTTTTTTTTCGTCATTATGAGATTGTTTAATTGATCTTGCAGCATCGGCGATAATGTTAAGCTGTTGGTGGACCGTCCTGACGGCATATACTGCTTCAGAGAGAAGAAGGACAGAGTTTACTACGTCTCGGAGAAGATCCTCAATCTAGCATCGACTATTGCACCTGAGAATCTGATGAGTTTCGGCACTTGCTTCGGTAAATTCACGAAATCTGGGAAGTTCAGGCTGCACATCACTGCTCTGCATTATCTGGCACCCTATGCACAGGTAATTCGTAGGATATTTTCATCCTATAACGATGATCAGGTCGAGATAATTCAACACGAAGTGAGACTGTTTTTGAAAAATTAGTTTTTTCAGCTGCAACTTCTGATTTTTATTATTGAATATCAAGAAAAAAAAATGAATACTCAGTGAAAAATAATATTTCAGCACAAGGTATGGCTGAAACCCTCGGCAGAACAGCAATTTGTCTATGGCCACAACGTGACAAAGTCAGGACTAGGAAGGATAACAGAGAATACACCGAAATATCAAGGAGTCGTTGTATTCTCGATGAATGATCTCCCCCTGGGTTTCGGTGTGGCTGCAAAAAGCACGGCTGACTGCAAATTTGCGGATCCAATGGCCATCGTCTGCTTCCACCAGGCGGATATCGGTGAATACATCAGATCAGAAGACACTTTACTATGAAAATAAATTTTTTTATGGGCTATAATTAAATTTAATGGATACAAGTGAGTGACTGTGGGAGGAATTATTTATTGGTGGGTTTTTCCACTGTTTTCTTCAACTTGAAAAATTTATTCTTTTTTTTTAATTTGATTTTTTATTCAAATTAGTTGAGCAATCTTCAGTCTCACATTATTATTGACAATGTAATTAGTGTCAGATGATTTTAGGGGCAAATGGTGGCTAGTAACATGGAAATCTGAGTACCAATTTGCCTCGAATTCATAAGATTCGTTGGAGTCGATGGAATTTTTTCGGTATTTTTGGAGTTGAAAGTTTTTACTTTTCATTAAAAAATTGAAAATTTTGGCTATAAAATATTAACTTGTGAATATACATTTATAAAATTATAAAAATAATGTCATCTGCAATTTCTAGTTAATTGACGTTGATGCATTTGTCCAAGCCCTTTTTACCTGAAAATAAATTGTTTTCAATCTATAAAATTTAAAAATTGGAAATGATTCCAAAAAATTATGAAAATAATTAAGTACATTCTTCACGAGTTCCCAGATATAAATCACATAGTTCAACATTTTGAAAAGTATTCAGAAAAGGAATATATAAAAGGGAATTTGTTCAATTTTCAACAATAGTTACAAAAAAATTGACAGATGAGTGGGAATTGATCATCTGGGGGTGACGCCATCGCCATAAAAATCAAACTGCCAGAACTGTCCGAGGACGTTGGAGCACGGGGCGACAAAGACATCGGTCTCAGGTCGAACTCCAGTTCCATCGAGACAGAGACCAGTGGATACGTGGACTAGACTCCCCCTGTCCGTGAGAATCCACTCTTTCTCGTCACCCCTGTCGTGACACTCAACCATCTTCACCTTTGCTCGTCGTGATATCACGTCCTCGAGGTTCACCACTGCGCATATCTCATCCCGACGGAGTTCTCCAGCATTGCTCAGTGAAAATAACTGAAAGAGAATACATTAATCGATTCAATATTGGCAATTGAGGGAATGATTCTCGTTGAATTTTCCCTCGATTTTCCCCAGTTCTTGTTGAATTATTATAACGTGATATTGACCAGACGAAATCCCCTAGACCCTCCCCTCATTACCTGACTGGGGAACAGCTTGGAGTGGCACCCATAGACCCCCAGGTCATAGGGTTTGTCCTCGTCCCTCTGGAGATTATCCAAACAAATATTCCTCTCCTTCATCTTGACCCTCCCATAAGCAATCACGTTCTCATCAGGCACGAATTTCTCGGGATAAATGTTCTCCAGGTACCACCGAAAGCTCTTGCACCCCAGCCTCTCCCTCAGCTTCACCCTGTCGCTGATGTCCCCGATCTTCCTCTCAACATTATCCTTGAACTCGTCCCTGTGCAGGAGGAAGAGTCTCTTGTACTCGTCCATCCAGACGTAGACGAGTCTCGCAGTGTTGATGCCATGGGTGTCCTTGTCATTGGGAAACTTATAAGGATGAAAGTTCCTGAAGATGTGCCCCACCCTGGAGCAGGGGATGGTCTCCAGAGACCCCCCGCACTGCCAGATCCTGAAGGACATCTCCAAGTTCTCCCCGCCCCACCCGTCCATTTTTTCATCGTAACTTCCTATTCTCCAGAAGTAGGCGCGGTTGATGGCGAAGAGACCCCCCGCCATCGTTGGAGATCTGACGGAGACGACGATACAATCAAAACATATTTTTTCACATTCTCAAGTAACAAATTTAAGCCTAAAAAATTCTCACCTCACAGGGGCTATCTTCGACGCTCTCCCCACCATCTCCTTCTCCTGAATATTGATCCAGTTGAAATGTCCGGACCAAGTGAACCCCCCGACCTGGAAGAACCCAAGGTCATTATCGTGAAAGTACTCGAGAGTCTCCTCGGAGATGTTATCAATGATCGGCATGACGACAGCATCACTCTTCTCCCTGATCCTCTTCAGGAGTGGCTCGAGCCACTGGACAATGACCTCGCAGTGAGCGTCGAGGAACACGAGAGCCTCCCCAGAGGCTGCTCTGGCCCCACTGAGTCTCGCCCTGATCAGGCCCCGTCTCTCGGGCAGCCTGATCAGCTTGACCCTCTCCTCATCGAACCTCTTCGTCATGTAGTACTCCAGCTTCCCCTGGAGGTCATCCTCGTCCGACGCGTCGTCGACCAGAATAATCTCCTGGAGAATCTCCTTCGGGGAATTGTTCAATACACTTGTGATTGTCCTCAACAAAACACTCAGGGGTTCGTTGTAGAAGATAATTATCACGGAGGCCGTGGGGAGGGTCTCCACGTCGAAGGTAATGTTCTTGCAGAGGGGGTCCCTGATGTCCGGGAGTGAACGCGATAGGGAGATTCTGTCTGACAAGAGGACATTCAGGGCCTTCTTCTCGAGGACCTTCTGGGCCTGGAGCTTCTCCTTGCCGTAGAGGGTCGCCGGGCGGCCATCGTCACCGAGACCGGGGATTAACTGGGCCTCGTACTCCTCGAGCCAGGGGGAGTATCTGAGGATTATGGTGAAGAGGGTGAGAGAAGGGTTAGATTAGATTAGAAACCATTTATTATTTCTCTGAGATACAAAAATCCCCTGAGGGTAAACCAAAATGTAACTTAAGTATAACAAATGAATCTCATAAATTCTTTACATTGTTAGGGGAGGGTGGGGTAAAACGGACACTTTTGACTTTGTTTGAAATGTTCATGACGTGTTGAATTGTTCATGAAATGGAAGTTTATTTTTCAACTGAAAACCAATGATTCCTGTTTGTGAGGAGCTTAGACTGAGCTCAACTGATAAATCTGTTTATGAGTTATGAATATTTTTAAAAAACTCAAAAGTCGGTTTCTAAATGAATGAATTAAAAAAAGAAAGTTCGACTGAATTTTCATGAATAAAAAAATCATCTTCACTCACCTTTCGAGGTTTCTGTACCTCAATGAATTTGTTTTCAATTGTTGGTGAGACGTTGACTGATTATTCGACGAAAATTCATCTGACATTCTCATCATTCGTTTCGCAATCAACAAAAGAGCGATAATATAAATTCCACATATTGTTGCTTTAACAATTAATTTCCGGCGGCCAAGTATCATCTTGGTGATCGTCACTTCCTCATTTATGATGAATCAAGTGAACATATTAATGCAGAACTTGCGATACTTGTGATTTCCATTGAAAACTTAATTCAGTAATTTGGGAATTTTCAAATGTAATTGACACATTGTTGTGTCATTTCGGAGTAAAATGATAGGTTAAGTTCAAAATTTGCATAAACTCGTTGGCTCACCTGATTCTGCACCTGTTTGATTGGTCGTTGGAGTTGCCATCTTGCGGGCAGGTATGACGATTATTACGAATTTTCGCCGACATTGAGAAAAGAAGAAGAGAAGCAATAAAAATGAAAACTTTAACCCAAAATTGGTGTATAAAAAATTCATATAAAAGCGAATTGGTTCAACTTTTAACAAGAGATATGAAAGAATTTCATTGACCATCTGGGGGTTACGCCATCGCCATAAAAATCAAATTGCCAGAACTGTCCGGTAACGTTGGGGCACGGGGCGACGTAGACATCGGTTCCGGGGGAGCGATTTCGCTCGTTTCACGTCGACATAAAATCGTAAATTTCAACCAATGACAATCCTGGATTCGGAATACTCAACTAGGATTGGTTGAAATTTATCATTCCACTGGATAATAATAATATGATTAACTACTGAAACGGATTTCCAATTTTCGGGAAAACCAACGTCTGTTACCTCTCTCAACCAGTCAACATATTTGAGCCCCCCAAAATGCGTACAGAAGAATTTTCGTAACTTCTACTAAACTGGCATCATCATTGAGGATTTCCCAAGCAGTAAAACTTGCTGGGTTCAGCTTTTTTTTCAAGTGATGAATATTCAAATAATATTTAATCCAATGTATGTCAGTCGATATAAGTAACAACGTAAACATCCTAATGTCAAAAAATGATATTTATTAAACCACACATAAAAAAAAATCCATTCACATAAAAAATTATAAACGTTCATCATAACATATCATTCCTATCTAAAAGAAAAATCTCCAAAGTAGTAAAACAAAACTTTTTACATGGAAAATTGACTCCTTCACCTCCAGCCCTTCTCAAACGTTCCCATTCCTCCTCTTCCGCCCTTCTCAAACCTTCCCATCGCTCCCCTTGCGCCCTTCTTGAACCCCTCCATCTCTCCCCTCCCGCCCTTCTTAAGCCTTCGCGACCCTCCTTAGCCGCCCTTCCCATCCCTCTTCTTCCGACCTTCTTCAGCCTTCCCATCCCTCTCCTTTCGTCCTTCTTAAATCTTCCCATCCCTCTCCTTTCGACCTACTTAAGCCCTCCCATCGCTTCTCTTTCGCCCTTCTCAAATCTTTCCATCGCTCCCTTTCAGCCCTCCTTGAACCCTCCATCTCTCCCCTCCCGCCCTTCTTAAGCCTTTCCGACCCTCCCCAGCCGCCCTTCTCAAACCTTCTCATCCATCTTCCGACCTTCTTAAGCCTTCCCATCCCTCTCCTTTCGCCCTTCTTAAACCTTCCCATCCCTCTCCTTTCGACCTTCTTAAGCTTTCCCATCGCTTCCCTTCCGCCCTTCTCAAATCTTCCCATCGCTCCCTTTCTGCCCTTCTTGAACCCTCCATCTCTCCCTTCTTACGCCTTCCCGACCCTCCCCAGCTGCCCTTCTTAAGCCTTCCCGACCCTCCCCTTCCAACCTTCTTAAGCCTTTCCGACCCTCCCCAGCCGCCCTTCTCAAACCTTCCCATCCTTTCGACCTTCTTAAGCTTTCCCATCGCTTCCCTTCCGCCCTTCTCAAATCTTCCCATCGCTCCCTTTCTGCCCTTCTTGAACCCTCCATCTCTCCCTTCCCGCCCTTCTTACACCTTCCCGACCCTCCCCAGCCGCCCTTCTGAAACCTTCCCATCCTTCTTCTTTCGACCTTCTTAACCCTTCCCATCGCCTCCCTTCCGCCCTTCTCAAATCTTCCCATCGCTCCCTTTCCGCCCTTCTTGAATGCTCCATCTCTCCCCTCCCGCCCTTCTTACACCTTCCCGACCCTCCCCAGCCGCCCTTAAGCCTTCCCGACCCTCCCCTTCCAACCTTCTTAAGCCTTCCCGACCCTCCCCATCCGCCCTTCTTAAACCTTCCCATCCTTCTTCTTCCGACCTTCTTAAGCCTTCCCATCGCTTCCCTTCCGCCCTTCTCAAATCTTCCCATCGCTTCCTTTCCGCCCTTCTTGAACCCTCCATCTCTCCCTTCCCGCCCTTCTTATACCTTCCCGACCCTCCCCAGCCGCCCTTCTTAAGCCTTCCCGACCCTCCCCTTCCAACCTTCTTAAGCCTTCCCGACCCTCCCCATCCGCCCTTCTTAAACCTTCCCATCCTTCTTCTTCCGACCTTCTTAAGCCTTCCCATCGCTTCCCTTCCGCCCTTCTCAAATCTTCCCATCGCTTCCTTTCCGCCCTTCTTGAACCCTCCATCTCTCCCTTCCCGCCCTTCTTATACCTTCCCGACCCTCCCCAGCCGCCCTTCTTAAGCCTTCCCGACCCTCCCCTTCCAACCTTCTTAAGCCTTCCCGACCCTCCCCATCCGCCCTTCTTAAACCTTCCCATCCTTCTTCTTCCGACCTTCTTAAGCCTTCCCATCGCTTCCCTTCCGCCCTTCTCAAATCTTCCCATCGCTCCCTTTCCGCCCTTCTTGAACCCTCCATCTCTCCCTTCCCGCCCTTCTTACGCCTTCACGACTCTCCCCAGCCGCCCTTCTTAAGCCTTCCCGACCCTCCCCTTCCAACCTTCTTAAGCCTTCCCGACCCTCCCCATCCGCCCTTCTTAAACCTTCCCATCCCTCCCCTTCCAACCTTCTTAAACCTTCCCATCCCTCTCCTTCCGCCCTCCCGAGGCCTTCCTCCCGCTCCCCTCAAAATACTCCTCAATCTCCTTAAGACTCTTCCCCAACGTTTCCGGCAGAAACAAGTAAACAACTGCAGTCCCAATCAGCGATACGACACTGAACCCGAAGAAGACATTCTGTGCTCCCATGGTCTTGAGAGCAAAGGGATAACTCTTCACCACCCCAAACATAATAACATAGGCCACTGACACCATTATCCCCCCTCCCACCCCCCTGAAGCTAATAGGCAGAAGCTCCCCGATGAGAGACCAAGGTATAACGACAAATCCCAAGGAGCTCATGCAGACGTAGAAGAGAACAATCACCAGGAGCATCCACTTCTGCTGGCCCACGCCGTGCTCACCTCCCTCGTCGTCTGTCGCCTCGCCGCAGACAGAAGTTAGGAAAATCAACATGGCTGAGAAGAACATGGAGAAGGCCATTCCAAGACCGGAAGTGATGCTAAGAACCCGCCGGCCAATCTTCCGGGATAAGACGGACGTGATTATGCTCATGATGAATCTGATGATGCCGAGGAGAACGAGGGCACCATATTCGTTTAATCCGTTTCCGAAGGTTCCTCCAATCTCCCGGAAAACGGATATGCCGTAGAAGATGACGACGTAAGCTCCGGAGAGCTGTTGCACCAGGAGAATGACGAGGAGGAGGCAGATAGGCTTGTAGACTGTTGGAGATTTCAATGCCTCGATGTAACTGCGCAGCGATCCTTTCTGGGAGCCCTCCGCTTCGTCCGCCATTTTGGGTTTTGAAAGGTTGGCATCTTCTATTCGATTGAGCTCCTGGTGGTAGATGTGATCGCGGGGGTTCAGCCAGTGGAGGTATCTTTCTGCGCGTCTTCGACGGTGGGTCTTCAGACGGTTTGAGGGGGTCAAGGGTTTCGGGAGATGATTTGGTGCTTGATTCGGTGATTTATTTTGTGAGTCGTTAGGCACTTGATTCGGTAGATTATTTTGGTGGTTTAGGGCTTGATTTAGTAGATGAGTCAGTGCTTGATTCAGCACTTGATCTCGCTCTTGATGTGATTTGTCATTGGTTGTTTGATGTGGTGATTGAGTCAGTAATTCATCAAGTGGTTGATTATGAACTTGATTGGGTGACTCATTTTGTAAGGCTTTCGGTGATTGATTTAGTGCTTGACTCTGTACTTGACTCAGTACTTGATTTAGAGAGTTATTGGTTGCTAGATCAAGTGCTTGATTCCGTACTTGATTCGGTGACTCATTTTGCGAGTCATTCAGTAGTTGATTTAGTACTCGATTCCGTAACTGAATCAGTACTTGATTTAGAGAGTCATTGGGTGCTTGATTTGGCGAGGCATTTGGTATTATATTCCGTGACTCATTTTGCCATTGATACAGCAGTTTATCAAGTGCTTGTTTCACTGATTGATGCAGTACTTGATCTGGTGAGTCACTTGGTACTTCACTTGATGATTCATTAAGTGATTGATGCAGAAAATCGATCAGTGCTTGATCTACGACTTGACTCGATGATTTCACTGACTCGTCGATTGACTCAGCTAATGCTTGATTCAGTTCTTGGTTCTCTGATTGCTTCACGACTTGATTCCCGCCATGATCGAGTGTTTGATTCGCTGACTCATCAGTTGACTGATCGCTCTGATTGTCGAAGCAGATGAGCCAATAAGGGCTCTCGGGGATGATAAAGAGTAAAAATAAGAATGAAGTGTTCAGTGCAGTGAACACCATGGCTATTTTCCGCCAATTCAGGAAGAGCGCTAGAACACACGTGATGAGAATCCCCAAGGACACGAAGACGGAGTTCAGGCACAGCATCATCGCCCGAATGTTCGGGTGGGTGATCTCGATGACGTAGACGATGGAGGCTGTTGACATTCCCGCTGAGATGCCCGCGATTACCCTCGCGGTGTAGATGATGGCGAGGGAGTGGGAAAAGGTGAGGAGGAGCCAGGAGAGGGTGGAAGGGACGCAGGTCATGATGCACACGGTTTTACGACCGAAACGGTCCACTAAGGGACCTGAGAGGAGGGAGCCCAGGGGGAGGGATATTGTCACGAGACTTGCTGAAAAATGGAGAGGGTAATGAGCAATAAAACTACGGAGATGCGGGGAAAATGTGGCGCCGTGAATTCTCGGCTAAGAGGGGATGGAAAAATATGAAAGATGGCTTAAAAAATTTGTTCACTTTGCAGAAAATGGATGCAGTGAGTTGAGGGTGATTTGAAGGGGGTAAATAATTTAAAGAAATGTTTGAAAATAGGAGGGGGAGCGGTCGCCATCTTTAAAACCCCTTGCGGCAGAGGGAGGGGGTATGCAAGTAAAATGGCGGTGCCCACACTTGTCGACCACCTCGTATGTTTAAACAGTTATTAAAATTATTTACGCTTTTCAGATCATCTTCAACTCATTTCATGCAGTTCCTGGAAAATGAAGAAATTTTTCAAGCTATCCTTCGGATTTTTGCATCCCTTTTTGATTGAGAATTCACAGCGCAAAGTTTTTCCCGCATGATTAATTTTAGCCTCTTAATTAATATATTAGATTTTCTCTACCTATCCATGACGCCTGATCGTCATTGATCTTGATCTCGTCCTTTTGCGACTGAAGGTTACCGACTAATACTGTACTGTAAGCCATATTAGCTCCTGCCTGTATCACCACACAGTACGCCATACAGCTCGCAATTATCTTCAATTAACATATCGAAACAAAAAGGAATGTTAGTGAAACGTGAAGCGAAAATCTTCGAACTGGAATATCTCCTAGACCAATGGTTCTACGACGAAATGCCCAAAAATCTTTTCTATAGAGAATTTAATTTGCGACAAAAATTTGCTTTTGACGTTTTTTCCCAGAGGCAATAATTATCCAGATATTTGTACAATTGCAAAACCGAGATGATTTCACTGCAACTCATGGTCTTTAATTACTATTGTTATCAATTAATAATGATTACCTGAGGCACCGAGTCTCTCCACGTCAAGTCCGGCGAGCCCTTCCCCCTCTTCAAGCTCTCGGGAAGGAAATTGCTGAAGAAGAGATTGCGAATTGGCGAGAGCATTTTTAATTTTTTTGAAACTTGTAAAATCACTTTTTTCGGTGCTTTTCATTTTCGGTCAACAAATCGTCATTTTCATAATCAAAGTGATGATTTTTACACATGAAACGGTAGACAGATCCGTTAATTATGAACATTAATTAAGACATTTTTGAACGAGAAAAAAATTCAATTTTTTAATATTCGATTTTTTTTTTGCACTCAACCGATTTTTTTTCAGTTTGGGAATAATTGTTGAGGATTAATTTTTGCCGGGTAACTATTCTGGGATGGTTTTCTATCGGCAGTTGAAACAACACTGTCACTCCTCGGTTTTTAATCAACCGCGAGAACAGATACGACACCACATCATCGCATGCGGTTTGTGCTCTTGTAGCTTATCCTTAACATTCATGACTCAAGGGCACTAACGTTTCTTGTAGCGGTACGCCAATAAAAATCATCTACATTCACGCGAGTAATGAAATGTCAAGCGATTCAAGTACAGTAGCTGATGGAGATTTATGGGCAATGGGAAGTCTGTCGATTTACCTTTTTTAGATTTGCTGAGATTTTTTATTTCTTTTGGGGTTCAATTAAAACTCGAATGTTATTCACTTCAAGATTGGCTGTTTTTTTTGTTCAGCACAAAACCAATTAGTCTATAGAGCTTAAAGAAAGTATAAAAAAAGAGAAGGGACGAAAGTATTTTTCTGTACTGCTTCTCACGATTTCTCGTCGGGGAATTGGTATTACATACTTCCCAAACTCGAAAACTTGAAAATCACTACAGAAAAATATTGTTCCTGGGCTGTTGCGATGGGGTTTTTTTACTCGTGTGGTTGGCCAGTCCTCGCCTACTCGGAGGCCAACGCCACACGAGTAAAAAACCCCAGCGCAACAGGCCGGAAAAATACTATTTCTATAACCCTAGGGAAGAGTGGGGAAAAATGAAATAATATATTTCGTAACGAGTGCAAAAAAGTGTTTTTTGGCGAGTGGGAGGTTTATATCACGAGCCGAAGGCGAATGATATAATCCCACGAGCTAAAAAACATTTTTTCACGAGTTACGAACAATATTTTTCATCACAATGTGGCGGAAATTGGACTTTTAGGCACGTGGAGCGTGCCGAAAAGTTCACTTTTCGTCACAGCGTGATGAAATAGTAAAAAAAACGACTGTTTGACGCAATTCAAGCAAAAAAAAATTTTTTATTGATTATTTTTGGTAATCGGATCTGGCCTTCCCTGGGTCAATCAGAGTTCAGTATTCAATAACATGAAGTACTTCCCAGCTAAAATTACAGCGGTTATCTCCCCCTAGCTTTTGATAATTTCCCTCTAGCTCTGCAATTGTTTCTCTAACCAAATAACTGTCAAATATTATCCTGTGTGGAGTGAAAGAACGTCATGAAGAAAGTCAAAATGAGTCGGTTTGGGAAGGATCCGATTGCCAAAAATAATCCGACGAATACCACTCGACCTCTAAAATTAATCGGACATCTCCCTCGTTTTCCCGCGTATCACCAGTTGGGATAAGTTATGCACAAAAATCCCTCGCGCTGCGCGCTCGCGATTTTAATCTGCAAAACTTCTCCCCCTTGTTGCTACGCAACAAAACAATCAGGAAATATCCGATAATTTTGGAGGTCTCGTGATTTTACTACTGAATATTTTTTTTATCAACCTTTCTTTATTCTTGGAAGTACTGATAAGAACAATAGATTTCCATTCTACTGAATGAAAAATTATTAATTCTCATCAGTACTTTCGAGAATAAAAAAAAGTTGACAAAAAAAAATTTAATAATAAAAATTTTCTTAATGTTTTAATTTTTTTAATGTACTCAATTGAAAGCTTATTAAATAAGCTTCAAAATGACACTCAAAATTAATCTCAATTAAAAACGGTCCTTGAAAAAGTTCAGAATTTTTTCTATTTTTTTTATCGTTCTATCGTAATTTTTGGGAATATCGACATGATGTACCACTCAATTGACAATTTTGGATTACGAAAGATAAAAAAATCCAGATAACATTCGAAAGATAGTACTCCTGGGCCTTAATTTTTTAAAAATTTTGAATTTTTCAAAAATTCTTTTTTTTTACGATAACTAAAAAAATGTTCTGAATTGATTGAATGATGGCTTGAACAATTACCTTACAAATAAGGAGAACGCGTGAAACGACAGTTCGGTGGAGGAAAACATGGAGTGAAGACCGCCTTGGAGCACAGTCCCCTGATTTCAAACATGTAGTCCCCCCAGTTTCTTTTAGTAAATATGTTTTTATTATTATTAAAATTGAAGAGAAGAGTATGCCAGCCTTTGATAAAAACCCTTACAAGTGTGACATTGCAACTAACATTTTAAGCTATTATTGAATTCATTTGAGACATGATATCTCAAGATATCCACGGAATTCCAATTTTCAAGAAATTCAAAGATTTCGCAAATTTTTAGGGAAATCAAAACAACGATTATTAGTATCGCGTTCGTCTTCGAATTCGGTCAAAAGGACGTCCAAGAAATTTTTGGACGGTTTTTGGAAAAATTCAAAAATTAAGAAAATTATTAAATGAATTACATTTTAGTTAATCTCGATGGATCAACAACACCTACATTTGAGAAAAAGAAATGATTTAATTTCATCGATTCCACTCGGAAGCAAAAAATGGAAAAAAAAAAGGGAAGAGAAAAAATTCCATTTGCTGGGTTTAGGGGGAAATGTGTTCTGAAATTGTTCCTTGAACTCAAACTTTAATTATATTTTAATGAAAACAAAAATTTTTTTTTTCTAAAATTCGTTCCGTTAATTTTTGGATTTTTCAATCGCGATCCCCATTTATTGGGAATATCTCGGGAAGGGGTGGTCTAGGAGGAAATGCCATTTGACATTTTTTGTCGGAAATTGAATTCTCTACCAAAAAGGTCTTATGATGTTTTTTCCTATCACCACTCGTTCACGAGATATCAATGAAAGAAGATGAATGGATTTTTTTCAATTTTTTTTTCTCAAGTGGACATACTTGTTGGAGTGTTTATTATTGGGCCTTTACCTGGTTTCGAATTTTTCGTCATCTTCGTACTCTTGTGAATTATACTGATCCATTATTTCGGAGCAACGGAGCGTGCGAAGCACCGCTGAGTGGTGGAAGGAATCAAGTGATCGAGAAAGTCAATGGTTCAAGGCTAGTCTATTGATCGAGGCAATTCGTCTTCAATGAGCCACTGAAACGCATGTATAAAAAAATTACAATTGAATATGACGATTTCGGAGGCCGGAACAAAAATCATTCTCGAATAAAAAATGACCCGTTGTTTCGCGAATTGTTAATTCCGGGAATATCTCCGGAGCAGTTGAATTTATCAAAAAACACCATAAGAGTTTCTTATGGGGAATTTAATTCCCTACAAAAAGTATTTTCTAAGGTTTTTCTCTAAATCCCACCCCTCCGAAGATTTTTTCAAAAGACAGTCTCTTCAACTTGCCCAAAAAAGGAAATCACTCTAAAATATCCAAAGGACTCTATTTATTAAAAAAAAGTCATAAGAACTTTTTGTAGAGAATTAAATTCCCCAGAAAAAATGTATTTTGACATTTTCTTCTAAACTCCACCCCTGGGGAGATATTCCGAAAATCCTAGGCCCCAAAAATCCTCGAGCTCCCAAATCATCGAATCCCAACCCTTAATTATCTAAACAAATTCCCTCCTTTCATAAAAATGATCTCAATCAAGTCTCACATCGACCGAACTTCCGTAATTGGCACCCCATGCCGGAGTAATTGACCCGAAAAACCGCGCAATCACCCCTGAACCACAGAGACAAGCATAAAATCTGAAAACAGTGATTGATGCTAATTAAATAAGTATCTGCGGTGCAAAGGTCACTAAGAGCGACCCGCGTCGTGCAATTTCCCTCGTTAAACTAGACGATAATCACCCAGTGTTAATTCAACACTCTCTCGAGGTGTTTGAACCACGTGACATAACCTCCGCGGGCTGAAGGCTCTCTCAGTGTCTCATGGAGCTGTCAAAATCGACGTTGAAGGGTCTGGAGGCCCTGCAGGACCCAAAAATCATCAACACCGAGACATTTGATCGACTAGTCGACTTCGTAGCTTCGAGTTTAACAGAAAAAAAAGCCGGAAAAGGTAGCAAATTGATTTTTCAAAATAATCCTTCAAAATAAAAAAATCAAATTTTTGCATTTCTCACGTTTTTGATGATTTCGGGGTGGAAAGGGGAGGGGGGACAGACTAAAAATGATTTCATTAAATATCCTGGAAAATTTCCGATTCCAACCTCTGGTTTTAAATCGATTTTCATAAAAAATCCATTGAGATTTCAATGGAATTATGTTTTGATGAGATACTCTTTGTTCTGGGGATTTTGGAGGCAATAATGGGGTAAAACGGGTTCATGATCAGGGTTTAGGATCGGAAATTTCTCAGACTCTCCAGTGATGCAATTTTCATTCAAAAATTCCCATTGGTCTTCAAAAAAATTGAGATTTTGAATTTTTTGTGTTTCAACGAATTAAGAAATTTCATAATTTATCCAAGAAAAAAGAAAAATTTCACAATTTTCTCAGATCTCTCGATATTCTACGAATCTACAAAGCCAGAGATCATAAAATCCGCCTACACAGACTTAACAAGTCTTTTTGTGGAGTCATCAAGACACAAGTTCGACGCTGAGAATCTCTCGACTTACCTGCACTCGCAGAAATTATTCGGCAACAGAGTCGAAAAATTATGCGACACATATAAAATTCACAGTGACTCCCTTATTCTCCAATTGAGTAACATCGGCAATTCCCTCCCTTGCGTAATAGACGTAGACTGGAGGCTCGACTACTGTATCAAGGTAAATCCCCCCATATATTCATGAAAATGGAAAGATAACTCAATTCTTACCTATTCGATGCTATTTTCAGACGAGTACAGATAATGATGTGGGCGAGTGTGTCTATCACGTGCGTCTAAGTACAAAGAGACACAATAAAATTGATTATGTCAATTTTACGTGCTCACTTCATCAACTTCAGGAGTTTGTTTACAAGCTTAAAGACGCAGCGAGACATGTAGAAAAACTTTCAACTTTGTAAATTATTGATTATTCAGATGTCATTGGATTCGCAGGGAGATTTACGTTTGAAAAAACAATTTGATGATCTTGTTATCTTCAGTAGTTTCGGAGATATTTCAGATGAAACTTTTGGACCTGAAAATGAAAATGTGTATAAATGCTGTCAATTTGGGTATTAATGATTCTGGGAGAGAAAATTAAAAAAGATGAGTTGAATGTGACAACCTGATTTCAGGTACAGATACCTGACTTCAGGTGTCTTGCCTTCTTTAAATTTGGCTCTGACACCTGTTTTGGAACGTTTGGATATGATCTGTGAAATTGGGTAAAAATGCCAAGCCCGCGTACCTGATTTCAGGTCAGTCGGTTTCAGATTGAATTTAGGCACGTGCTAATTCTATTTGTGATAGTTTCATAGGAGTTAAAAAAGCTGAGTAAGAAATCAGGCGTTTGAAGCGATTTCCATCTGCCAAATTTGGAAATTTAGTATACGAACCTGATTTTACGCACTCGAACCTGATAATTAGGCGCCTGTGCTTAGTCTTTGAATATTTTTCGCCTAGATAAATAAATTTGTACGAACTTCCGAGCGTTTTGCAACCGACTTCATGAGATGAGTTCTAAAATCAGGCACCGAACCTGATTTTAAAACCTCAATTGTATCCCACATAATTAATATCTGATGTTATATTTGATGAATTACCGACATTTTAGCCTGATACGATACTCAATAAAAATTCAGGTATATATACCTGATTACATCCAGGGCTGCTCATAGACCAGAATTTTTAATCATCGTATCTGAATTCAGGCCAACTGGGTCGAAATTCAGGCACAAGTGACTCAAACTTCTGATATTTTTATTTAAGTCAACACGGTTGAGTACAAAATCGAGTGTTCGGAGCGGTTTTCCACTTGCCAAAGCTTGAAATTTATCAGTCGAACATGATTTTAAGCACTAGAGCCTAATAATCAGGCACCTCCAGCCCACTTATTCAATTCTTTTTGCTTAGATTGTGAAGTTGGTATGAACTTCCAAGTGTTGTAACAGATCCCACGAGCGGACTCCTAAAATCAGGCACCTGACCTGATTTTAAGCGCTGAACCCTGATTTTAACTCCTTCAATTGTGCCCTCCGCAATTAACACCTGACGTTATATTCCATGAAATATCGGTACGCGAACCTTATTTCAGGTATTCCACGTAAAAAATCAGGCATAAATACCTGATTCCACTCAAAGCAGCCCGAAATCACTACAAATACCAATACTAGGCCTAAACTTCTAATGGAAAATGTAAAATAAAAATAAAATTTTTTTTAAAGACATTTATTTAATCCTTCATTAATCATTACTTATGCTTGTCGTGATGATACAACTATATACAAATAACGCAGTGCTCGAAAGAAATGATTAAAAGATTACTAATTAAACTCGACAGGAAAAATCCCTCCTGCATCTTCAGTCCATAATTGTGTATATTCTTCGAATCTTCCTTCCACACTCACCCCCCCCCCCCCCCCCCCCCC